TATGTTTCAAAAGCTTATAGAAAATTCTATAGAACTTTTTTTCCTGGGTACACAAGCTCTAAAGACAAGCTAAATCGGAAAACATCTACTTTTTGTTGCTCCACAAAAGTAATGTACGTAGTAAAGTAATATGTAATAACTTGAGCCTTTCATTTCTTTTTTAACATATGCGCGATTCTTAATTGATTAATATGATTATAAAAATTTATTTAAAAGATTTTTAAATAAATTTTTTGCTTGTGAGTCCCTTGATTTTGCCATTAAACTTGTTTTATATTTTGAAATATAAAATATTTAAAGAATACCTAAATAATACGAAGATAAAACACATACTTTTGAAATAAAAAAATAAATTTTATAAAAATTTATATAGTATATTGCAATAAATTTTTTTTTTTAATTTCCGGAAATTTTGAGCAAAGTTTCCTGGAATATTTCCTGAAATTTTCCGGAAATCTCTAACCCAAGTTATAATTTTCATATTTGCGCTTGTGATCTTCGAAAAAATTTTTACGAATTCGAAAGGTCTTTGTTTTTCAATATTCAAAACAATGCTTATAAATATTAAGTATTGTTTTGAATATTAAAAAACAAAGACTTGAAGAAAAAAAGATAGGAGTATGGTGAAGGCGTAAAGATTGGGGTAAGGCGTAAAGAGATGTCTTCATGTCTTTGGAAACTGTGTAACGCATAGTTCCAGGAGTAAATTAGTTATTTAAAGCTGTCGTGGTACAGTGGTTAGCATTTCTTACTTCAGAATCAATAGAGCTATGGTTTAATACTTGCTCTGGCCAAAGGCTTCAAAAGATTTAGCAGTTGCAGATATGTCTATTTAACAACTTAGGCTAATTATATCTTTGGATACAATATAGAAACACTAACTAAAAAAGATGAGGTTCTAAAAACAATCGGCATTGGCAAATGATTAACCATTTGCCAATACCGAATGAAGATGCTAAATGGTCAATGCATTGATGAACCCCTTCTACAAATAGGTATTCTAATATAATTATAATTTGTATTACAAATATATATAAAATTTCAGTAAATTAAACTAATTAATTTTTAAATTTCAGTGAACAACAAGAAATGTTGACTTTTGAAAACTACAAATCTTGCAAAGTTAAAAAATTGTTCAAAAAATTAACAAATAAATAAACGAGAAGATTATCAAACAACCACAAGTTTATAATTATGAAAGTTAAAAAATAATTAGTTATTGACAAAATGCAACATTAATTGACTTGAATAAAAACAACCAATTTGGTTTCTGTTGTAATAACGTATAACGTTTTTTATTTAGTAGAAGTCCCATCAAGACAAAAAAATATTCATTACAACCAAATAATACACCTCTAGCCTTATTATGCTTCACAAAAATATTGTCCAACTAACAGTGTTTTATTCACATAAATTTACTCAGCTTCTCTTTTATAATGTTTAAAATTAAAACGTTAGCCTTTCTTGATATTTTAACCAAAGGATATATCTAGATGGTGACAGTATTATGTTGTTGTCAATTTAATATTTTTAGATTAATAGTTGCTATTTCACCCAGCAAACATGTAACCCTAAAAGGCATATTTTAGAAAAAATTCACGTCTAAAAGATGCCATTAAACGTCATATGTTTGCTGGAGATCAACGGATTAGTGTAAATTTCTTAGTGGTTTGGCCACGTTCACTTTAAGATTGTCTTTAATTCTAACGCTAAACGACTGGCAACGACGGTTTCTTTGACTTTCCAAACTTTAAATTGACATGTTAAATATTATCAAAATAAACTTTGATATTAAAAAAAGTAAAAATCTTTAACTGATTATCGTGAAACAATAGTTACGTTAAAGCTCGTTTCCAATAATAGCAATGATGTCATACAACAGTTACGCAACAACTTTTTGTCATGGCATAGTTGCTTTCTAGTCGTTGTAGAAATGTCGGAAAACAGCTGATCCGTTTTGTTGAACTGTTGCATAAATTGATTTGTTAGCACTACTTCAAAAGTTGTTATACAGTTTAAATTTTGTTGGGCAACTTTAAATTTTTTTTTTTATATATACATGTTTATTTTACAACTACAAATTATTTACAAGTAACCAATCACAGATTGGCGGTCAAGATATACAAATATAAATATCATAAACATAAAGTTCGAAATATACCAAGTAAGTAAAAATATAGTTGCATACAACTCCAACACATGATTAAAATAAATAGGGGAAAATTGCGTAAGTTGAGCATTTTTTCAGTGTAATGTATTTTGCTCCCAAAATATTACAAAAAGATATATATTTTTTTAAGAATAACGATAATTTAATCTTTCCTCTCAAAGAATATCAATGCATTGATGGAAAATAAATAAGCCTTTATAACGTTATTTTCAACACACCCAATCATCTCATCTTAGGAAACTGGTTTCCTAAAATGAGCTTTTTTTAATGGTTTCAAAAAAATTCAAAATAAGTTTATAGTTAATATACGTCAGAATATATACGTCAGAATATATAGTTAATATACGTCATACGTCGTTTATAGTTACGTCAGAGCCGATTAAAGCTAGGATCAGTAGTAAATTAAGGAACTTTTTCGAAAGATTTTAACTAAATTTATATAAACGCCGATGAGCGGATTTTATCTAAAGACTCTACACTAGTGTAGAGTCTTTAGATAAAATCCGCTCATCGGC